GCCATATCTCCAGAGAGGGCCCAGCCTCTCGCTGCAGGGAAGGAAGCCAGGCTGGCTCGCCAGCCCACAGACCAGACCAAGAGCAGTCTGCCTCTCCGAAAGCCCTCCTGCCCGAGCGTCTCTGTACATCTCCATCCTCAGTAGGCAGGTGTTACCAGGACCTGGGAACCTCTGCCTGGGCTGGGCTGAAGCAGAACACCATGAGCTCTTGGGAGCCCACCTCAGGAGCCCCCTAATGCCCTCCTGTTCGGACGTGGTGATACTTCTCACACTGACCTTACGCCCAGATCAGCCTGGAAGATAGGAATTCCAGGCCCAGCCTGGCTTCTGACTGGTTGGGAGAATTTGGGCAGGCCCTCTCCCATCTCTGGGCCACAGATCCTCCTTTTGAAAGACTTGACAGCATGGAAGCCACAAAATTTTCTGCTTTCACGGCTCTCTCTCCTTTGACGCACGCGCATACCCCCTTTTCCACAAATTACCTCTTCGCTTCGCTCCCTCCCCCGAAGGTTCTGTTCCCCGATGGCTAATTCCCCACCTCTGAGCCTAAGCACACCCCTCCTGTCTGGCTGTTCCTCCCCAACCAGGCCCTTTGTTTCACCTTATGTGGTTCCTGACTCGAAACTCATCTCCTACAGAAAGTCCTGGATTACTCCCCACCTGTACCACCCCTGCCACACAGTTTTACTCTTCAGTCACATTTCCCTGAAGAACTGGATTTAGGTCACCTCAGAGCAGTTAGATGATGACCCCTAAACTAAACACTCTTCAAGGAGAGGGGCTGGGTTTTCAACTCTTGCGTCTCCCCTCCCCTCCCCACTCTGCACAGTACATAGGCTGTAAGGGGCCCACAGGGTATCAGAAGACCCTATACTTGAAGTCTGGGTTCACCAGCTCTGTGGGTCCTGGCACAGGACCCACAGAGCTGCTCTTCCCAAGCCATCATTTCTGAGAAGAGCAGAGAGACCTTGAAAAACTGGGATAGGAGCTTATCTCTCTAAGTATTAATCACCCCATAAAACTTGTGTTTATTTGCTTGTTGGCAGGTCCCTCTTCCTGGAGGTAGGAAGCTGTTATTCTTGGAAATCCCAGCCCAGGCTTGGGCCAGGGCACCCCGAGGCCAGAGGTGATCTCCTGAACTACAGCATGTTGGGAGCCTGGAAGGCATGAGGCAGGCCTGCAGAGGCCGTGGTGGGGGCACCGGTGGGCCTGGCTTCAGTTCAGGCAGTGGGGGGGTGGGATGGCATGCCCGCCTGGAATGGTCACTGAGGGACAGACCCCAGCCCCTGTCTGCACTCTGTCAGGGGAGACAACCCATCTGTCCATGGCCTGATTTGCAGATATGCTGGGTGCCAGGGGCCCCAAGATATCTCTGATCTGAAGAGCAGGTATGGGCCAGGTAGGGTTTGGAGAGTTTGGGCCATAGGTCCCACAGACAGACAGGAATGGAGGAGGCAGGCCTAGCAGGAAGTCCCTAAAGATGAGACACTGGTTTGGTGGGCAATCACCTCAGGAAAGAAAGCCTGTCTTCAGAGCTGCCAAGGCAGAGAGCAACCTCTCAGGAGATGGAGAAACTCAAAACTGGCTGAGGAGGGAGCGCAGGGAAAGCCAGAGACACTGGAGGGATCCGGGCCAGCCGTGGGGAGTTGGGGGGTGGGTAGGCAGTGAGGAGGCCGGGATAGGAGACTGACCCCTGGACTATATAGGGCAGCAGGCGGACCCCAGAGGGGAGGCCACTGATGAGGGTATAGAGCAGCGTGCCAACCTCCGAAGAGATCTTGGATCTCTTTTGTTTTTACACCAAAATATATGAGTTTAGGAAGAACAAAACAAAGAGATATTTTAATCTGCTAATTGAATTCAGGGACCAACATCAGTGTTTGAAAATGCCCAGGGATTACTGTGATTTACAGCTCGGACAGGAATCTGCTGGGACCTCAGGCTTACCCAATGTGCCCAGAGGAGCCTGCTGGGAGATCCAGGTGCAGGGGAGCCTGCTGGGAGATCCAGGTGCAACTGAAAAAACTTCCTGAAAACCCATTTAGAGCCTAAGAGGGGTAATAGGGCCAGGCCCGGGGAGACTGCCTGGGCTGTGTCCCAAGGTGGGGACCATCAGATCACTCTCCAGGTCACTTTCTAGGCCCCAGAGGTTTGGAAGACCCATCTCACCTAGCATGTCCCCTTCACCATCCCCTCCCTACCCCTTCCTGGACCTTCTAGACCCCGCCTAAGCCCCCTTCTCCAAGAAGCCTTCCTGGACTCCATCCTCCCTCACTGACCTCAGCCTCCTCTGACTTACTGCCTCCCTCCATACCTAACCTGCTGGAGGTTTACTGGGGAAGGTACTGCTTTTCGCATCAAAACACTCAGTTCAAATCCCAGCCCCGCCACATTCCTACAAAGGTAATCCAAGCATTCCATGGGTCTTAATTTTCTCCCTGACCAATGGGAATGAAAAAACACTCTGTCCAGGGCCAGCTGCTGAGGTTAAATGAGATAGCTGGATGGAAACCATCTCAACAGATGGAAAGGATCCTATGACCACAGCTCTAAACAATTTACTGTCTTCTCGTGGGTTATGCCCTGATGGTGTCTGGAGCGCTTGTTTTTCTCTCTGATTTACCAGTGAGGCTGGGCTATCTGTGAGCGAGGCTGGGTCTACCTCACTCCCCACCACTTTCCTTCATCTAACAAACTACCTGCCCTCCCCACCACACTCCCCTACTGAGCCCCCAAATAACCCTTGGTGTCTTCCACACACCAGACACAAGGTTCTACTCTGGAGAGAAATCCAGCGTGGTAAGACATGGTTTCACCCTGAAAGCCTTCCCCATCTTGGGTAAGACCTATGGATGGGCCAGAAAGCTCAGCCGATGCCTCAGTGCTGAGAGAATCCCAGGCACCATGTGGTGGGACTCAAGAAACAGAGAAGAGAGCTCACTCTGGAAGGCTTCAGGGAGGAGGTGGCTCTTGAGCCAGGCCTTAATGCCAGAGTGGGATTTTTGATTTCTGGGGACTGTACGAAAATGCATTCTTTGCTAGGAAAGGGGAAAGCAAGAATGCTGCCCCTACTGCCTTTACCCCTGTCCCAACAAGACTATAACTTTTTTTTAGAGCTGAGACACTTCTGTCTCCCACACGTACCCCCCACCCCCACCCCACCCAAGGGCTAAGTCATAGTATTCACAACCTCTTCACAGATGAGAAGCCTGAGACTCAGACAGAAGTGTCCAGGCTAGAGCACAAACTCAGGCTCCAGAAGTCCACTTCCTGGAAGTGTGAGGCCCTAAGGACATGAGAGCAGCCGAGGGTGTTCACTTGAACTTGGGTTAAGCTTCGCCCTCCCCAGGATGGATGGGGAAGACTGACGGTCAGTGCCTACCTCCAGTGTGTCAACTGCTTCCTGTAACTCGGCTCTTTAAGCCTCCAAAAGAACCCTGAAAACTATTTACTATTACCTACCCCTATTTCACAGATAAGGAAACTGAGGCCCTGCAGCTAGTACAGGGTGAGGCCCGGAGCCCACCTGGGGCAGAACCAATACTCTTTCCGCCTCCAGCAGGAGCACCCACTGCACGGAGCTAGAGGAGAGCAGCTCGTTGTCAGGCAGCCTGGGCTCCTTCTTCACTTACTAAGACCTGGAAGGGCTTGCTTTCAAGCTCTTAACTTATCCATGTGAATGTGTACTTTTATGGAGTTGAAAAACAGAAAGTACCCAAACTATTAATTAATAAAAACAGACTCCTGATGTTTGGAAGTCAACAGAAATGCTTCTGACAATTACTCATTTGTTTTTACTTTCACTGTCTTTTTTACTCAACTGAAGGTGTTTTGAAAAGAGCTTCACTGTTCCTTGGCTCTGAAGCCAGAAAGGAACGAAAAGGGAAAGAATAAAAAAAAGGTTTTCCATTGCATCCATGGCGTTTTTGTCTGCAGAGAGATGGAGGCAGGGGTGGGAGCTGGGACGAGCAAGCACAGGCCGGGCACTGACTGTGCTGGGTGCTTTACTTACAGCCTCTTGAATTTCCCTTCATCGTCCCACAAACCCATTTCATAGATGGGAAAGCTGAGGCTTCTGCCGGCTCTGCCTGGAGACACAGCCGTTTTGCCCGTGAGCTGATGTATGTTCAGAGTCAGCGTGTGCACAAGGGAGCAAGCTGAGAGCGATCCTAGACCAGGAGTCAGGTGACCTGGATTCTAGTCCCAACTCAGCCACCAGCTCAGCGTGGGACCCTAGGAAGCCTGAAACTCTCCAAGGCCCCTTCCAGCCCCGGAACTTTGGCGTAACGGGCGCCCTCGCCAGGGAGCCTGGCTCCTTAGCACCCCAAGCGCCTTCTGCTGCTCCTCGTCTGATTGCTGCCGCCAGTATGGAGGCCCTACTCACCCTGGGCACCCAGGAGCTGCCAGAAAAGTCTTAGGCACCCCAGTGCCCTCTGCTCTCCCTGCTTACCCCATTCACTCCCATCCCTGCAAGAAGCACTGGGATGGTGTTGGGCCTCCTGGAGCACTGCACAGCCCAGAGGCCAGGGGCTCACTTGGAACTGAGTGCTGGCTGCCCCGCTCAGCTGCGGCGCCTCCGGCCAATGACTCAACCTCCCTGAGCTTGGGCCTCGTCTCCTCCTCCCAGCATCACTACGAGCACAGCAGCAACGAAGTGCTTGGCCCACAGCAAGTCCTAGCTCAGCTGTGGGGTCGATGATTAATATTCATGACTTTCTGGAGGCGGAGGGTCTTTGAGGCTGGTTTCTGATGAGGGTTATATGCTGCTCAAAGGCACACCTGAGGGGCCTTGGAGGGCAGGAATCCCACCCCAGAGCCCCTTGCCCCAGCTGTGGGCATGAAGGATGGGTGAGCTCTGCAGGACACAGGAAGGCTCCCTGAGCTGTCCCCGTGCCCACGTGGCCCTGGGGCCCTGCCAGTGGAGGAGAGGTCCGCAAGCCAGATGAACCCGAGCAGCGTCACACCCCAGCACCTCGGGGGCGCGGGGAGCGGGCACTCACCGAGCAGCTGGACGCCCCGCGTGAGGCCGTAGACGTCCACCAGGGCCCAGAGCGGGTCGGCTGTGCGGACCCCGTTGAAGAAGAGCATGGCAGCTGAGTTGTTGATGCGGTAGAATACGCGGCCCTTCTTGTCCACCCAGAAAGCGATGATGTTGCCCTCGTTGGCAAACTCCTCAGGCAGCGCCTTGGCCCAGAAGCCGCTCTGGGACACCAGGTCGGGGCAGGCGTACTTGGGCAGCGAGTCAGGGTGGATGCGGGACGGGTCCTTGCTCGTGAAGCCCAGCCGCAGTGCCCCGCTCCAGCAGCACTGCTTCTTGGTGATCTGGATGGGAAAAGAGACCCTCAGAGGGCGGCCCCTGCCCGGCCCAGCCTCTCCCGCACCCACCAGGGCCCAACGGGGAGGGAGTGGGTCCTTCCCAGTGGACCACTTGGGGCGGACTCCCCTGGGGTGGGGGTTTCATGCTGCCCTGCTGGCCTCCTCTCTCTCCTCTGGGAACCTTCCCACAGGCTGGTGACAGCTCATGGAGGTCCCCACGGCCATACCCCTCCCCCACTCCCTCTCTGGGAGTTGAGGCCACGTCCCTCTGGGAAGGTTGAGGAAGGAGGAGTAAGAGGGTCCAGCACGAGGAAGGTGAGGAAGAGCGCGAGTGGCAGCACAGAGGATGAGAAAGGCGGAGTGCAGCGGGAGCGGGAGGCATTGCTGGTCCCCGGGATGCGCAGAGAGCAGGGAGGGAAGCCCCACCTTCAGCCTGACTTGCTCGTAGATGAGGACCGGGCGGTTGCTGAAGGTGATGGCATTGCAAAAGCTGGCCTGCCTCTTGACGGCCTTGTGGCTGAGGTCCATGAGGATCTGGGAGCCCTTGGTGTGCGGGTGGAAGAGCAGTGGTGTGGCTGGGAGCCCCCCGCCAGGTGGTCCCGGAGCACAGTGCTCCTGCTTGTGGTGGCGTCGGTGAGAGGTGACAGGGAAGGGGCCCCCGATGGAGTCTGCAAAGGAATGAGCCATGATGACAAGGGTGTGGCAGAGACCCCTGAAGCAGCAGAGGGCTGAGCACAAGCAGAAGTTGCTCATGGCTCAGGATATCCACCATCACTGAAACTCACCCGCCGGCACCTTTTGCCACCATCTCTTGCCATAGCCCCCTTTGCCACCTACCACCGTGTAGCATCCATCACTATCGGCCCTGGTCCTCTGCCCGTCACCTCCCACCACCAACTACAAGCTACTGCTACTCACCAGTGCTTCTCGCCATCTACCCTCCACCACCCACCTTTGTGATAAATCAGCATTTACTACCAACATCCACCACCATGTCCTGCCACTCCCCACCATCATCATTTTATTTTATTCAACAAATATTCATTACAGACCTACTTAATACCAAGCCCTATCCTAGGAACAGGGCATACAGGCATGAAACACACATGGATCCTTTCTCAAGAAGACAACAGCCGAGGAAAGGAAATAGGACATATGCAGGAATCATGATAAAAATGGTAGACAGTGGGGCGCCTGGGTGGCTCAGTGGGTTAAAGCCTCTGCCTTCGGCTCGGGTCATGATCCCAGGGTCCTGGGATCGAGCCCCGAATCGGGCTCTCTGCTCAGCGGGGAGCCTGCTTCCTCCTCTCTCTCTGCCTGCCTCTGCCTACTTGTGATCTCTGTCTGTCAAATAAATAAATAAAATCTTTAAAAAAAAAATGGCAGACAGTGATTAATGCCGAAATGATGGAACAGCAGGTCACTTCCCAGGAAGGCCTCCTGGAGGAGGGGAGAAGGAGGAGAGGGCATGGAGCTGGACTGACAAGGCTGAGCTGCAGTGCACATGTGACCTTGGAGCTGCCCTTAGAGACCAGCAGTGTAGCTGGGCTCCAGGACCACGCCCATGGCTGCCCTCCTTCAGGACCACCCCTCTCCACCTCAGGCCGCCCTCGGGCTTTATACCACCCACGCCCGCAACAGGTGGGCCTTGGCACCCAGGCTTCCTGATGGAACTCAGATCAGCCTCAAGAACCTCTGGCCGCGAGGCATGCCACTTCCTCCTGCTGATAGCTCTACTGCACCCCAAAACGGGACAGAGGAAAGGATGGGGCGTGGTCCAGGGGAAGGCACGTTACAGGCATGTGGGGCTGGTGTTCAGGAGACAGGGCAGAGATTAGAAGGAACATGGAGGAGGTGGCAGGTGGCTTGTATCGGTCACTCACTGGCTGTGTAACCTTAGGGACGTCACTTCCCTGCTCCAGCACAATGGGTAGCTGGAGCTCTAAGACACGTCTCAGCAGCACTGGAAGTATTAACGCAGTCTTGGCAGTTGGGGACAAGATGATGTTCATTTCTTCCCCAAGATCTGTATCCTGTCCATGAGGAAGGGCAGCCCTGCCCTGTGCCATCAACTTGAGGAAGGAGACATGGAAGATGGGAAGATGGAGTGGGGGAAGTAGGAAACCACAGAATGTGACAGAAGCCTTCTGGGAGGTGTCAAAGTTTGGTTCCTCCAAGGCAGAGAAGCTCAATCAGCATCAGGCTTTCTCAGAGGTCTTCCACTCCCTAAAGAGGAGGAGAGTTTTCCAGGAAGGATAGGAAGACAGGAAGGGAGGAGAGATGGAGAGAGCAATATCCTGAGCTAGGAAGACCCTGACTTTGGTCCAGGCCATATTTGCATCACTTTGCATCACTTTGCATCTTTGCTTCCTTCTTCCCAAAGGGTCCCAGACACCAGCGTCCATGGTCCATGGCCAGCCAGACATCCTGCGTGTGGGAGGCGGGGCTGGAACAAGGAGGAGTTCCTCTTGTTCCCACTAAGAGAAAAGACTGGAATCACAGAACAGTGCTCAAGGCCTTTAAAGCCACCAAGCAGTGAAGGTTGGAACTGCTCAGAGGCGACCCAGTCAGTCTGGGAAGGATACCTGGAAGAGGTTGGGTGGCCCCTAGATAGTACAGAGTAAGGGAGGTCATTCCAGGGAAGGGGGCCATTGGGATGAAGGACAAAGAGTGGCCACAGGAAACCTACAGGTGCCCTGCCTGGGAGAGGTGTCCTTTGGGATAGGCCAGCCTCAGGCACAGCATGACTGCTGGCTTCAAAAAATACCAGTTGGGGAAAGGGATTAGAGATTGTGGTACAGGTATACAATGGAATATTACTTATCGGTGAACAGGGAATGGATCACTGATATGAGAGGCAACATGGATGAATTTTAAAATACTTATGCTGAGTGATATAAACCCGTTTTTAAGAAGTAAGCAAACACAATCCATGGAGTAACTGTAGGGCTTCTGTTCCTTTTGAAACAGAAACCTACACCCTGTCCCATTTGCCCTGATCTGGGAAATGCACACTAAGGGCTAGTGATAACACATAGCCTGGAGGTCACCTGGGGATGGAGCGGGGAGGGGGAGGGATTGCCAAGGAGCACAAGGGAATGTTTGGGATGATGGATATGTTCACTCTCTGGATCGTGGTGATGATCTCATGGGTGTATACGTATGTAACCCCCCCCAATTGTACACTCTGAACGTATGTCAATACAACTTACAACTCAATAAAGCAGGTTGTTAAACCTGCTGAGCCCAGCAGCTGATCACAGCCTCTCCCACAGGGTCACTCCCCAGCCTCCACTCAGGACCCATGGACCAACCACAAGACCTCAGCTTCCTTCAAAATGCTCCCTCTCCTTCCCACCCATCCTGGGTGGGGTCCTAGGGTTCTGCAAAAAGACCCAGAAAACACTGACTCTGGGCAGATACGGTGGAGACACCCAGAGTCAGAGATCCAGGCCCTGGGAGGACCATATCCCTGGGCCTCCCTTCCACAGGAGGACTTTGGGTCGGCAAGGGTGGCACAGGCCCAGCCACCCTGGCTGACAGCAAGACGGATGGAGAAGGAAGGTGAGGGAAACCCTGGTCCCTGGGACACAATGAGCACCCAGATGGGCGACCTCACATACAACTATGGGTACATGAAGGTACTCCAGACCCTAGAAGACAGAGACTTATTTCTTCCCTAATCCCTTGGGTCAGGAATCACACGTTTACACACGTACCGTGCACACACACACATATTCATGTCCACAGGGATGTATGAAACGGCATGCATGGGACAGGTCCAAGCACCCATGGACCACATACCTCTAGTAATATGGACAGCCGCGGGCCAGGCCCTGAACGGGGAGTTGATGTTCACCCACCGGTTTCAGCCTTAAGGCAAACTCTAACTAGAAAGAGGGATATCACTAGCCCATATGACTGATGAAGACCCTGAGCCTCAGAGACACTGAGTGGCTTGCCCACGGTCACCCAGCTGCCACAGAGAGCCTCCAGCGGCCGAACGCAGGCAGTCCCGCAGGGAGGCCTGTGGCCTCGCCATGAAGCCCCAACAGCCAAGACCACGGGGGTTCTGTGTGCCGGACACATTCTTTTAAAAGCACATTAAATTATACTCGCGACTGGTAAAATATGGGGGGAAATGTTTGTCCATGTGCCATGCAGAACCATTGTGAGTAGCACACTGGGGGAGACCCGGCATTCCGCTAGGCTGCTTCCATGATACACGTGTGTAGGCCACCAAGACACAGAAACACAAACCATGTGGCCTGCATGGCCCTCCTACACGGCTGGATATAAAATGCGGCATGCGCCCACAAGGCACCCCGCTCTGCATTCACAAGGGTATAAGGAGGAGGGACCTCAAAACCATGCTGAGTGACAGAAGCCAGCTCCAAAGCCTACCTATGCTCTGATGCCTTTTTGTAGGACATTCTGGAACAGGCAAAACTACATAGCTTGAAAGCTCCAGAGTACTGGAGTTTGGGGAAGAGGAAGACACAGGGGCACAAAGGGAGTTTTGGCAGTGATGGAATGTTCTTTATCTTAACTGTGGCAGTGCTCACACAACTTGCACATTTGTCACAGCTCCCCAAACTATATACTTAAAAAGGATGAGCTTTATTATATACAAATAATGCCTCAAAAGCAACAACAACTAACAAATCAGGGTCCACTGAGATGGAGGAAAGGGAGGCTGACACCACTGCCGTCATCAGCCCACGGCAGGGAGTGCCTAGGATGTGGACCATTGGACAGGAGACACCGAAGCCTGGTTGGCCCACAACTCTTGGCCCCGAGCCTCTGGGGTGGGTATGAGGGGAGCTTTCTGGCCGCTACAAAGCACATTCACTGACTCCTAGACCTGCGAAATTATATGCCCGCCTCCTCCTTCCTGCAGTGTGGCTCCAGGGGCTGTCCCCAGAGCTGTCCCCAGAGCTGTCATTGGCCTCTTCTCTCTGCACTCAGCTCTGAGGTATCAGTGCACACCGAGCCATGTCTGTGGAGATGATATGAAAACCCTCTCCGGCTTGCTGGGTATCTCAAAGTGACCATGGTCCCCTGCCGCTTGGCAGACCCCCACCTGAACTCCTGACCCTAGCCCACCAAACACCCCCCACCATGCTTCCAGGCCCAGTGGCATCCTTGAGCACCCCACATCCAGCTGGCCAGTCCCACCTGAGAAAGAGACATCCGTGCCTCATCACGTCTCTTCAAAGCAGGGCCAGAGCCACTGCTTATAGCCACGAAGGCCCTCCCTGCCTGCCTCCAGGGGGCGCCATTCACACAGACTACAAGAGGAATGGGGCCCTCGGAGGCATCCAACATGCTGGTGTTTGTCACCTCACCAACCCCTGCTGTCTTTGCCTGCCAGCTCCCTCCTCCACCTCAGCTGGCATTATGGCCTCGGGGAGGAAGGAGAGAAAGCGGAATGAGAATTAACCCTGGGCACAGCTCTGAGATTCAGGGGCAGAGGGGCAGCTGAGGGCAAGGCTCCTTCCCTACCCCATCCTAAAAGGCTCCCTCCCTGCACTTCAACAGACACTATGGCCCTTAAGGTCTCCATTCTAGGGATGAGTTAGGACTCTGAATGGTTAGCCAACTTGCTTGAGCTCACATAGCAATGAAGTGGCAGAGCTGGGACTTGGACCCTGATCTTCCAATGCTG